ATTTTATTTTGTTTTTTTAGACTCTATTTTGTTTAATTTATTAAGGCTGTGATCTTTATTATCATTTCCTTCTACTCACTTTGGGCTTTGTTCTTCCTTTTCTAGTTCCTTTAGTTGTAAAGTGAGATTGTTTATTTGAGAGGTTTTTTTTGTTTGTTTCTTGAGGTAGGCCTGTATTGCTATGAATTTCTCTCTTAGGACTGCTTTGACTATGTCCCATAGATTTTTGGGTCATTTTGTTTTTACTTTCATTTTTCTCAAGGTATCTTTTGATTTCTTCTTGATTTCATTGTTAACCCACTTATTAGTTGGTAGCATGTTATTTAGCCTCCATGTGTTTGTGTGTTTTTCAATTTTATTGTAATTGTTTCTAATTTCATACCATTGTGATTTGAGAAGTGATTGGTATGATTTCAGTCTTAAATTTGTTGAGATTCGCTTTGTGACCTAACATTTTGTCTATCCTGGTAAATGTTTCATGCATGCTTGAAAATAATGTATATTATACTGCTTCAAGGTAAAATGCTCTAAAGATATCAGTTGAATCCATCTGGTCTAATGTGTCATTTAAGACCGCAGTTTTCCTTGTTGATAAGATCTGTCCATTGATGGAAATGAGGAGTTAAAGTCCCCTATAATTATTGTATTGCTGTCGATCTCTCCCTTTATGTCTATCAACATTTGCTTTATAAATTTAGTACATCTACGTTAGGCGTGTAAATGTTTACAAAGGTTATTTCCTCTTTTTGGATTGATCCCTTTATCATTATGAAATGTCCTTTTTCTCTTGTTATAGCCTTCGTTTTAAAGTTTATTTTGTCTAATATAAGTATTGCTACCCCAGCTTTTTTTTTTTGTTTCCATTTGCATTAAATATCTTTTTCCATCCCTTTACTTTCGATCTTTGTGTGTCTTTCGATATAAAGTGGGTCTCTGGTAGGCAGCATATGTATGGGTCTTGTTTTCTTATCCTTTTAACCAATCTATGTCTTTTAATTATAACATTCAATTCATTTAAATTTAAAGTGATTATTGATAGGTATGTAGTAATTGTCATTTTATTATTTACATTTTATAATCTTTTTTTCCCCCCCTTCTTAAAGAATTCCCTTTAACATTTCTTGTAATACTGGTTTGGTGGTAATGAACGCATTTAGGTTTTTCTTTTTTGTGAAGTTCTCTATCCCTCTTTGGATTCTAAATGATACCCTTGCTGTGTAGAATAGTCTTGGTTGTAGGTCTTTGCTTTTTATCACTTTGAATATTTGGTGCCAATCCCTTCTGGTCTGTAAAGTGTCCCTTGAGAAATCAGCTGACAGTTTTATGGGAATTCTCTTTTACATAATTAACTGCCTTTCCCTTGATGCTTTTAAGATTCTCTTTGTTTTTAGCCTTTGCCATTTTACTTATGATGTGTCTTGATGTGGGCCTGTTTGGGTTCATCTTGTTTAGGACTGTCTGCACTTCCGGGACTTGTATGTCTTTTTCCTTCACCAGATTAGGGAAGTTTTCCGTCATTATTTCTTCAAATAGGCTTTCAATTGCTTGCTCTCTCTTTTCTTCTTGTACTCTTATGATGCAAATGTTGTTATACTTGATGTTATCCCAAGGGTCCCTTAAACCACTCTCATGTTTTAAGTTATTATTATCATTATTATTTGCTTTTCTGATTGGTTGTTTTCTGCTGCCTTGTCTTCCAAATCACTGATTTGATTCTCTGCTTCATCTACTCTGCTATTCCATCTTAAGTATTCTTCATTTTAGTTTTGTATTTTTCATTTCTGACAGATGATTTTTTATTGTTTCTGTATCCTTTTTTTATGTTTACTTGTTGAAGTTCTCCCTGAGTTCATCTAATTTTCTTTGAAGTTCATTACTTTTATCACCAGTTTTATGAACTCTGTATAAGTTAGATTGCTTGTCTCCATTTTGTTTATTTTTTTCCTTGGAGTTTTGTTCTCTTCTTTCTTTTGGGACATGTTTCATTGTCTCCCCATTTGGTTGCCTCCCTGTGTTAGTTTCTACATATAAGGTAGATCTGCTACATCTCCCAGTCTTGTTTGGTTGGTTTTATGTAGTAGGTGTCCTGTGGGGTCCAGTGGTGCAGACTCCCTGGTTACCTAAGCCGGGTACTCCAGGGGTGTCCCTTGTGTGGGTTGTGTGTACCTTCCTGTTGTAGTTGAGCCTTGATTGCTGTTGACATGTCAGTGGATGGAATTGACCCTTTAGTTGCAGCTGCCTGGCTGAGGACTAGCCATGACTACAGCTGTTGTGTGAGGTCTGACCCCAGGGAGTGTGATTCGCTATAGTGGAGCTCTGGTACCTGCTGAGTTTACTCTTTAGATGTGTTATTTGTGAAGCTAATTGGTTGGCGTTCTGGTACGGTCTGAGGCTGGTCTTCTAGAGTGTTGGTTCTGGAGCCTCTTGGGAAGGGCTCCAATGCAGGCCCAGGTTAGTTGCTGCCTGTTACCAGCCTGGGGACTCCTGGTAGGAGATATAAAGTGATCTGTGGTTGGTAGTTGCCTGCTTGGTGGTGCCTGGGAGAGGCTATGCTGTGACCTGAGGCTGGCTGCCATTAGTACCATTGGGCTGCTCAGCAAGAAGGACAGGATACCTTGAGGCCAGCCACTGCTTATTTGGGGTTTGTGGACCTCTCAGAAATTTTAGGGAAGTCCATAGCATAAGCCCAGGCTAGTTGTGGAAGAGTAGAGCAAACGACTAGTGTTTTTTGTTATAAGACTTTGGGTACTACAGTCTCTTATTCATCCTCTGAAAAAGATTCCAGCCTGTGTAGGAATTGTGTGGGGCATGTTCTCAGGGAATCACCAAGGTAGGGTGAGTTTGATGGAGACTCAGATTTGGCACCCATCTACACCTGAAGGCTGAGTTGAAGGAAGGCTCAGCAAAGGAACAATGGTGCCCACCTGCCAGCTCTGTAGGTGGAGGGCTCAAGAAAGTAACGAAATGGCAGAGAGAGCTGCTCCTTTAGTCCTCGCCCTGAAGCCGGACAGCTCAGTTCCTCCATGTATGTTCCTGGCACTTTTTGAAAATTGGAGTTCAGAGTGAGTGCATCTATCAGCGAGGATGTTCGTGCTCAGGCCCTTTCAGAGGAACACGTGGGACTCAGCAGCCTTCTACCTCACCTGGTGGATGGACTCTGAGCTGAGTTTCACAGCTAGTTGTTGTTAGGACTTCTCTTTCTGGCACTGATGGTTCAGGTTGGGCTGCCTGGTGTGGGTCTGGAACTCCTCAATTCTCAGGGTGTACCTCCACAGCTGAGATATCCCTCTTCATTCTTAATCACCACACACGGGTGTGGGACCAGCACTTTTTGTGTCTTGATCCCTCCTACCAGTTTTGAAGTGTTTTTCTTTACATTTATCTAGTCTTCAGGTGGTTTTCATGAGGGGTTGTTCTATAATTTAGTTGTAATTTTGATGTGGTGGTCGGAAGAGGCAAGCACAGCATTTTCCTACTGTGACATCTTGACCTGAATTTGCCAACTTTTAATTTTTTTTTTTTTTTTTTTGGTGTTTAGCCACTGCAGTCTGAAGTCTCCTAATGCCAAGCGAGGCTTGGTTGAGCAGCAAAATGTTCACAGCCTCATCTTCCTGCTCTTTCGGTGTGTCCGTGCTGCTAGCTACTCTGAGCCTCATCTAGAATATTCATTTAGCTCATTTTCTCATTTGTTGATACTTTCTAGTTTCCTGTTCCTTCCTGTCGCTTGTTGATCATAGTCTTGGAGGGAAACCTATTTTGTAAGTCTTTTAGTTCTTCAGCTGGGTTGGTAACACTCTCAGAGGTGAGACCAACCTCTAAAAACACCTACCTATGGTCCACAGCAGAGTTTTGGAAGAAGTGGAATAAATGGCTACTCATCACCTGTGACCTTAAGGTTGTCAAGCCCTATTGCTTATCCTTCCTGCTTTCCATTCCCACCCCACCCTCAATACATAGTTAATGAATGAAAACTCCAAATTAGAGATTTACTTTTTTTGGTTTAAGGCTTCTATGCATTGTTAAAATTCAAAATTCAAACAACATGAACATGATTCCTTTAAACATTATGGATAATTTGGATAATTTATATTTCATGGGTTTTGAATACAGAATTTGATAGATTTCAGTGGGGGTGGAGAGACAGAGAGCACACAATTCAATTACTAGGCACTTTGGAGGAATGAATGTAGGAGGAAAACCAGGAAAAAAGCAGTTCCTAGAATCCTCGAATATTTTTCAGACACTATTATTTTACATATAGGCAGCCTTTTCGTGATCCCAGGAATGTCCATGGTGACTCTCATTTTCCCTGAAAAATCCTTTAGAGTAAGGCTTAGCAAACTACATGTCCATGGGTCAGATCTAGCCTGCCACCTATTTTTATAAGTAAAGTTTCATTGAAACATAACCATTTTCATTCATTTACACACTTGCTATGGCTGCTTTCATGCTACAAGGACAGAATTGAATAGTAGTAACAAATCTGGCCCATGATGCCTAAAATATTTATTATCTGTCCCTTTACAGGAAAAGCTCGCCAAAAACCAATCTAGAGAGTCTAGACTTTTGGAAGGTTATCCATGGATCATAGATGTCTTAACCTTTAATCTTACTATTATATGGATTCAAGGGCTGCAGTTTTAAGGAAAGATTGCTACTTATATAACGATGAGTGCTTTTTCAAGTGAAAAAATTTTAACTTCAAAAATATTCTTAGAACAAAGGACGACACTGCTGTATTTACAATCTAAGTAGCCAATGGAAAATTAATATTTGATTATGCAGATACCTGATCCACCAGCCTCTTTCAGGTGCTCCCATCTTATTACATGAGAAAAATGTTATGATTCCTACAGACATTCACCTTCTATCATTTTTGAAAACAAAGTAGTTATGTCAGACATTGTAACTTCTTTAAATATAAATATAAAATGCTAATTTCACTGTTGGAAATTTGAAGAGTGTTTTAGCTAAGTTATGTCTTGTCTTCTCTCACTCAGCTTTAAGTCGATGGCCCAAAATGACTCTACCACTGGAGACTCTCTTCTGTAAAGAAGACGACCAGACAGGAGGCTGGGATGAGCATGCCACTGCATCAGATCTCTGTCATTCCATCCCAGGATGCCACCTCTGCTAGAATCTACAGAAGTAAGACCAAAGAAAAGGAGAGGGAAGAACAGGTAATATCCTTCTTAGTTTCTTATTTTTGTTGTTTTCGTTAAATATGGTCTAGAATGGTAAGTTCTGAAGATCAAAGTTTTCTCTGGTAATAAACTGAAAAGCACGTGTTGTACTCAGAATTTTTTTTGTAAGTTTTGTAGGTTTTCAGATTTTGCTATTGATTTATTCTGCCATGGTTATGCAGGACTTATTTAAATTCATTGGTTAAATCTACCTGATTATTTCTGGTAAATCACTGAGAAAAAGTTCTTTGGATTCTCAGAACATGATGCGAAGAATAAATTTATTTGAACAAAAATATATCAGTGCTTTGTACATACTAGTCTCTGCTTGTTGTAAGGGCATAGTTAACATCACAGAGCCTATATCTGTCCTCATATGGCTCTCAATTTGGCCTGACAATGAATTATGCATTACAGTTTAATAATGTGATGGAAGAAGTTCAGGACCACCTAATCCCAGCCCAAGGGGTTAGGAATGACTTCCTAGAGAAAATAACATTTACATGGAGAACCTGAGCAGACACCTGGAGTTAACTAGGAGAAAGGTGTAGAGTGTCTTAGTTGGGGGAAATAGTACATGGTGAAAGTCCAAAGAGTAGTGCAAGGTGAATGTGAAGAGATTAAAATGGAATAGCTGGAACATACAGGTTGGGTTGGATAGTGACAAGATACGGTGTTGGAAAAGTTTGAAGTTACCTTAAAGAGTTTGAGTGTATCTTTGCAGAAGAATGAATAATCAGATTTGTGTTTTTAAAACTTTCACTCAGGCTGTAGTTGGAGAATGAATTGAATGAGTGGTAGGGAGACTGATTAGAAGATTATTTAATAGCCTATTTGGGCCAGATTTGACAAACTTTTTTCTGTAAAGAGTCAGATATTAAATATTTTAGGCTTTGTAGGCTAGATAGCTGTAGCATGAAAACAGCTAAAGACGGTATGTAAATGAATGGACGTGATTGTGTTCCAAAAAATTTATTTACAAAAAGAGGTAACAGGCTAGATTTGGCCAGAATGATTGTAGTTTGCTGATCCCTGGCCTAGGAAAAGGTGGTGGTGACTTCATCTGGAATGGGGGTAGTAAAGAGATATTTAGTTTATTAATCCACTGGGCTTGATGATTGCATGTAGAGAGGGACAGGGAGGAATCAGGAATGACTCCTGCTTTTTTCCTTGCCTTACAATGTGCTTTACATTCCCTCAGTTGTTCTCATAGTTGACCTTAATCTTTGCCCAAGACTCTAAAGAATCCCTGTTAAGTCAAGAATCAGTAAGTTTTGCTTCAAGTTAGTCATTATAGTTGATGGGATACCATTCTTTCTATTATTTCATTAAGAAAAAGCTCTTGAAGTGCAGGGACTATGGAAAATGAAAAGGTACCATATAAATAAAAAGCGGTCTTAAAATTCTTAGTTTGTGTTTTACTTTTTTCAGTTCTTTGTATTGTCAATCTGGACCCTTTCTATTTTGCCACGCTTTTTGGACGACAAGTGTGGCCAATTTTGGTTAAAATACTGACTGGGGTGGTGGTGGAATAAATGGTTTGTGGATGTAGTATTTCAGTATTTTAGTTTTTCCTCAACTTGTAGGGGATGGAAGAATACCCTAAAATATCTTTCCCATATTCTATCAGTTTTCATTTACTAGCCTTCATTTAAGATTCATTTATATTAATAATCTTTTCTTATAATCCTTCTTAGCCCAAATGAATTTTTAAATACCCTTTCCTTAGTCTATACCAAATTGAGGTTGAGAGTTTCCTATTAATTGTAGTGTCAAATTTGGACACCAGGTGGCACGAATTTCTTAGAATGTGTATGAGGAAGCCATAATACTTGTTTGAAATAGAGAAAGGAAGATGTCCTAACATTTTAGGCCAGGAAGAGATTCTTTTTTGATATAAAACCATGCTACTGTTTTGTTGTAGGTAGGCATTCAATAAATACTTATTAATCTATTTGGTGGAGTTCTTAAGTTTTAAATAAGTAGTATTAACTAGCTATATGCATGGTATTGGGATTTTGATTAGTATTGGGAAGAGGAACCATCCTGTCCCACCTTAGTGTGGGGAATAATTTGAACACCCAATGGCAGTGTGACAGTTTTGGGAATCATGGTGCCAAGCAGAGGCGGCAGGTAGTGGAAGAACAACTGAGACAGGAGCTTGAAGGGTCCTATAAGAGTTTTGGCAGCAGCTGGCAGAACACTGAAAATGGTTGTTGTGGGTTTCTAAGGATCTGAAATGTATCACATTTGGTTTGGAAGGTAAATTTTTGTCCCATGGAACCAGTTTTTCTTTATCTAGCTTTTCTGGAACATTGAATTCAAAACAAAATCTTTTGGTACAATTTCTGATCCTCCTGTGTTTGAGAGAGGA